ATGTATATACCTAGAATATCACCGGCATGGAAATTCTTCCCTCTAGTCCATGCTTGGAGGCTAATCGATAGGTCCCAACCATAATCATCTCCAACTTTATAGGTCACTGGCACTGAATGAATAGCCTCATATTGAAGCATCAAAAGGAGAATCGCTAGGGCTAGGATGGAGTTGCCTCTGATTGCCTTTCTCATTTTCTTGTGAACTAGCAATATTCAAACTTGTTGGTGAAACTTAACAAGCTTGAAGACAAGCTAATTCATTTTATAGAGGGTGGAGACTCAAAAGACAATGACCCTAGCCACTTTTTTTTGGAAAACTAATGGTTTTCCAGTAATATATGATTTGTGTATTTTATTAATAAAATAAAGATTCTGTTAATCATTTATTATCCAAGAAATGTTTCAATGTTTTCGATATTTTCACATGGAAAATAAGATATGTCATTCTGTCAATCAGATTCTTTTCTAAATTGACAAATTTTCTATATCAAACATTTACATATGAACACTCAAGTTTTCAACAAAAATCTATAGATACCTAATCATTTATCTATAAAATGCTAAAATGGTAATTAAATAAATTTATTTAGAAAATATTATATATGTTGTATCAATAAATTAATTTGGCTAAATATCCAAATAAGCCCTCAAACTATATCAAGAAAGTCAATTTTACCCTTATCCTTTTATTACATTCAAATAAGCCTCTAAACTTTTTATCTTAAATCAAATAAGCCCATTTCACTAACTATTGACTAACTTTCGTTTGTCAACGATGCAGTCAGTAATTTTTTATACCAAGTCATCTGCCATGTGTTATGTTGACGTGTCATCTTGATGACATCAATGCCAAATGGCAAATGACGTGGCATAAAAAAATTGCTGACTTGGAATTGAGTTTTTTCCTTTCTAAATGTCCCAAAATTATTAGTTAGGGATTTGCAACAAAAAATTAAAAAAAAAACTTTAATAGTTTCAAACTGATTACCATCTTTTCTTAACCGATTACCATCCATCATTCCTTAAAAAAAACCTAATCCGTTCTTTCCAACAAGAATATCCATAACTGTTTTGAGAAGAGGAAGTGTAAAGGTAGGACAGACAACAATTGTAATACTAAAACTAATAAAGACACGCAGTGTTGATTGACAATAAAAGGAAGCCCAATCCTTTTCTTCTTTTCCCTAGAATTTGTAAGGAGAATATGAAACTTTTCTCTTTCCTAAAATTTGTAACTGAAATTTGATGGTGTTGAATTTTATTTACAAATAATAATGAATTCTCTTTCCACATCTTTCACAGACTTTGAACATTCAAGACTACTCAAAGAATGATTTTTAGAAGAGAAATAGAAATTGTAGACAGAGAAAGAACATTCTGACTATAAGGTACTTAGGTTTATGAAATGTTAAAGAAAGTGAAGGTTTTTTTTTTTGTTAGGAAGGATAGCTTCAATTAAGAAGATAATAATCAGTTAAGAAATGATGGTAATTAGTTTGAAGTAATTAATGTTTTTTTTAATTGTTTGTTTCAAATCTCTAACCAATCATTTTTGGACATTTGGATTAATAAAAAGAAAAAACTCAATTCCTACTCAATGATTTTTGGTATCCCGTCATGTACCACGTAACATTGATATCATTAAGATGATACGTAAGCATGCCACGTGGAAGACACGTGGCACCAAAAGTTGGGTTTTAGAAATGTTGAAGAAAGTGAAGATTTGTTTTGTTAGAAATGATGGCTTAAATTAAAACGATAGTAATAAGTAAAGAAATGATAGCAATCACTTTGAAGCAATTGCATTTAAGCATTTGGTTCATTGGTTAGTGTATGATTTTCTACCTAAAAAAGCAATATTCAAATCCCTCTCCTCCAATTAAAAAAATTAGTTTAAAGCAATTAGTTTTTTTTAAAATTTTTTTATTTAAATCCCTAACTAATAATGTTTGAACATTTATATAGGTAAAATGAAAAAACAAAAAAAAATCACTTAATTACTAGTTAGTAATTTTATATATCACGTCATCCATCACATAACGTTAACGTTATCAAGATACCATGTCAACTTGCCACATGGAAGATGATGTAGCATCAAAAATTGCTAATTGTTCCATTGTCAAATGTTAGTGTGAGAGGCTTATTTGATCTTAAAAAAGTTTAAGAGCTTATTCGAACGCAATAAAGGGCTAAGAGCTAAATTGACTTTTTTAATATAGTTCAAGAGCTTATTTACATATTTAGTCCATTAATTTTTATCTCGTACAATGTACAAGGCCATTTTTAGAAATAAATTTATAATATAAACAGGTAATATTTTGAAATATAAAAAACAAGAAATAAGTTATGTTAATAAAATAACAAGAATAGTTAATTGATATTATAATGCTATGATTTTTTTTTAACAAATAAGTTGTAATTTTCTATGAAAAAAAGAAGACACTACCCAAAGAAAAGGAAAAACTAGTTCTAGTCACATCAATTTCAAACTTATATTGACTTGGTTAGTCCACCTAAAGGGCCAAATAGTCCAAAATTTTGAGCCAACGGATATGGCCTAAATATATATTGCAAGTTTTGACAATAGAAAGTAATAAGAAAAGTATTAACTCCACATACAGCCCTTGTGTTATGATATTTTCTCAAATATATCTTTTGTATTTTACTTGGATGCGATTAATAGTTAAAAATTATAAAATAATGTTGACTTATCTCATGTAAACAGTAAAATAAGAAACCGAACTTGGTGAAAAATAAAAGAAATAAAACTAAACATACGAATAGTAGTTCATGTTATTGTTAATGTTCCTAAGTTCAATTAATCTCTTCATTTATGAAATCTTGTCGAATTAAGTCCAATTGAGTACTATATATATTTAAAGAAAGACAAGAAACTTAATTCTTAGACAATTAGATGATACAAATTCTATTGCGTAAGAACATTCTCTCAAAAATTATCTCTTTTTCTTGCTAGGTAATTAAACAAATGATTGATCAAATGAAAAAGTATTCAAATTCCACATGCATTTTAATTAAGAAATTAATCAGAACCTCTAATATAATAGAAGGGATCAAGTTATTACCAATCAAAAAATGTTTGTTTCTATTATCTTTGAATCATGATTAAATTTCTTATAAGTCATAACGTGTTTAATCCTAAAATAATAAAAAAACGCTTAATAAGAGAAAACAAGAGGATTTTAAAATTGTCTTACATTAAAAGCAATCTAATTGGAAACCAAACATACAAAAAAGCAAGGGAAAAAATTAGGTAGTAAATTTATCTAGGAAACATATATATTTAACTAACTGTAAGTCTGATTTAGTAAAATTAACCTTCAAAATTCTTGTTTCTCATCCTATCAGAACAATCATGGAACAACAAACAATTGTAGTCTCAATTAAAGAAAAGACAATTAAAGATAAGAGAAAACAAATTTAATTCTGAAATATGAACACAACATTTAACATTATTCTTTTATTGATATTTTTTTGTAAGACAAATTTAAGCGATAAATAACATATAAATTAAAATTTTATTAAATAGCTTAATTCAACATAATTGCTTGAATAAAAAGCTATGTAGTATTTATTTTGATGATGGTGGCGGTGCGGTGGCATTGATTGCCATCTTCATTCCGGCAGCACACAAATCAGATCGAGTACTACAAATAAAATAATTAGCTCCAAAGGCCAAAGGGATTTTATCATCTCCTGAATCAAACTCCGTAGCTCCATCGTTAACTGTGCATGTGTCATGTCCTTTCTTATCCACCACTACCACATTGAACAATTGATCATCATATATGAATTCTACAATAAATTAAGACAATCATAAGTTATCGGTGAACAATTCTTATTATATACATGAGAAAAATTATTAAAAAAGCTTTAAAATGTTTAAATATTAAAATAGAGTACCAAATATAAATAAAAAATTGAAACAACTGTTGTGAGAGAATTAGATTTTTATGTTATGTGCCTAATCTGAAATCAATTGATAATCAATGATGTATATACCTAGAATATCACCGGCATGGAAATTCTTCCCTCTAGTCCAAGCTTCGAGGCTAATCGATGGGTCCCAACCATTATCATCTCCAACCTTATAGGTCACTGACGCTGAATGAATGGCCTCATATTGAAGCATCAAAAGGAGAATCGCTAGGGCTAGGATAGAGCTGCCTCTAATTGCCTTTCTCATTTTCTTGTGAACTAGCAATACTCAAACTTGTTGGTAAAACTTAACAAGCTTGAAGACAAGGTAATTCATTTTATAGAGGGTGGAGATTGAAAAGACAATGAACCTAGCCACTTTTTTTTTGGAAAACTAATGGTTTTCCAGTAATATAGGATTTGTGTAATTTTTTAATAGAATAAAGATTCTGTTAATTATTTATTATCCAAGAAATGTTTCAATGTTTTCCATATTTTCACATGGAAAATGAGATATATCATTCTGTCAATCAGATTCTTT